ATTTTATTATTTTATTATTTTTATTTTATTAGTTTAATTATTTTATTTTATAGTTTTATTAATTATTTTGTTATACTACTGTTACATAAATATCGAATATGTAAAAGTTAAATAATTTGTTATAGTTATGTAATAAGACTATAACGTAATTACAGCTTTGTTTATTGAATTTACTATTGTACATTCTTATATATTATTAGTGCCAAATTTAATTACAATTTAAAATTACAGATAATATATTTTATATTTTCTGCCTTAAAAAACAGATAGATTGATATTTTGATTGATACAATGAATATTATGCACTTTAAAAAATATATTACTGTAAATATTTATTATTGGTGCAATAGCACTATTATTAATCACGCTTCATTAGTGTACATTGTGAACTTATGTTAAAACGGTCGAGATTTCGATACTGGGGGCTCTCGTTCTTTTGTGGCTTTTACTTCCTCAACAACGGAAACACAGTCACATATACGTGCACTCTGTCCCCTTACAGCTGGCATTGTAGAGAGACTTTTTTCATTCGGATATTTTGAGAGCACCGCGACCATATCACGTTAGATTTCTATGTTTATAATTTGACTGAAGATAGTTCGAAACAGGAATTGACACGTTTTGTTAATTTGCAACTAAAGATGATATCCTTAAGGAATGTGATTACACTTTATTTACCACGCTCTGGCTCTCACTTGCCCAGTTATTTATTTTATTAGATTAATTACACTGTTTAGTGTAATTTTCAAAAAGTTGTTAAAATATTTTTTTTCCAATTTTAGATGGTCTTTTGCGAAGAAACTTCACGACAAACAGTGTAAGGAAAATGAGCACGAAAAGTCTAAAGAGAATGAACAGAAGAATATAAAAAGTTCAAACTTTATGGAAACAGGCACAAACTGTGTGAGAGAATTAAAGAATTATGTGTCTCAAATACTTAATGAACATTATAATAACAATGAAACAATCGATAATTTAATAAAATTTTATCGCATATTTTATTTAGATAAACATTTAATAAATAACATTGTTGATATTGTTTATGGGCCTGAAAATATCAGAAAACTTTCTTTCTTCATTGATGAGATTAGAAACTTGCTTATACAATTTCCACGGTAGGATTCTCAATATAAATTATAGTGCTATTAATTTTATAAACTAATGTACTTATTGCACAGTTAATATGTAAATTTTTCAGAAGAACTGGTTGCGATCTAACCGAAAGATATTGCAATATAAAAATGTTTCACTTTATGAGGCAATGTTTGGTGAGAAAGAAGTTGTATAGATACACAAATCAATCTTATAAAAATCAGCTTTTGGAACGGATTGTTACTATGGCGGCACAATGGTTTCAACCTGAAGAGGATGTCTTTTACTCGAGCGTCAAAGCATCACTAGATAGTATCGCATTAGAAGTACTGGATTGCCTCAAGGAAAAACATCCCGACCATTCGATATTCTCGACGTCCGCTGAAATTTTTTCATATTGTGAAAACAACAATATCGACGATAATCATTGGAACGAAGCAGAAGGAACGCAGATTATGGACACACTCGAGAAATATACACTTGTCAAATTTCGACCATGCAAATGGAAAATGTCTTCCAACACAAAGTTGGAATACATGTGTATAGATAATGTAAGTTATTATAGATTATTATATATAATAACTTACTTAATTATGGCTAATTATATGCTGTAAGCATGACCATATATTTGATACATCTTAAAAAAATATTCTCGGTCTAATTAATTTCTTTATTATAATTTTTGGCATAGGTCTTAAAAAATAAATATGGCCAAGAATTAATTTTATTAATAATAATATATCACAGCATGGCCAGAAGACTTGATCTACGTTGCGATGTAATACGTTTGGGTTCTCCTACTTCTCACGTCTTTATCGTTTGGAAACCAAACTTGTTGCTTGCTTAAGTATAGGATTGGCTCCGGCGAATACTCGCCATACGGCCATAAACTGATTATAGGTACTATATAGGATAATGTAAGAACAGTTGTGTATATATGTAAAACTTGTTTTTGAGTAAATTTTCTTAGGGAAAGCGAGAAGGAAGGAATTTTTGGGAGGTGATAGGAAAGTAAAAATGGGAAAGCGCCGGCCAGGGTCGAGTCGGGAATCGAACCCGAGATCTCTGGGATGTGGGTCAGGCGCGCTACGCACTGAGCCACCAGAGGCCCCAACCAAACTTGTAAGTATAATATTAGAATTGGACTTATATCTGAACTATTCGGTATTTATCTTTATACTTTTATCATACGCACACATATGTATACAGTCTTTTATTGTTTACAGTGCCACGTATAATTCAAGAAATGCAAGATGTTTTAACATAAGTTCTAAGAAATTCTTGCCTTATTATCTTGGTGTCAGGGAACTGCTATACAGGATGCATTCAAATTTTGAATACCTCGATGAGTTAAGAGTTGGACGGGTTAACAATTACTCATACATTTTATTAAGTTCAACACTAATCAATAAACTTGTAATCTTAGCAAAGATATGAGTCAATGAAACACATTTAATAAGCAGAAAGAATTATACAATATTTGATTTTTTCATTTGTAATCAGAGATCTGTTCACACGTTTAATCTTAGCTCATGTTTAATCCTTATTTTTAGTTTTGGCAAGAATTAATATTGTTAGCATTGGTAAACAGTAACCGATATAATAACGTTTTTGGGTTTATGCCGGATGGATCGATTCAATTGGTTGGATACGACAGTATAAATGTGGTATATTAGCACTATATATATCATATATATTAATATGGGAAATAATAACAGAAAAAAATCTTTAAAGTTTCTTTGATAACACATGCACAATCACATATGAATTATAATTATCTATAATTTAACTAGCTGTAATTTAACTAGCTACAGAAATCTATTTAGGAATTATTTGATAAGAAATATTAATTAAAGTCTGATCTTACACTTTTCAGCTCAGCCTTCGCGTTAAAAACACAGATCTATATACAAGACCAAAGGACGTAAAATTTGCAGTTGGTATGATAGTGACACATCAACCTACAGATTGTGCCGGCGTAATAGTAAGATGGCACCGACATCTTGATAGACATTTTGTTACATTCTCCGCAAAGAATGTGCCGAGTCCCTATATGCACATATGTGGATTGCCGTTGAATCATTGTCGTAATTGTTATTTTATAAAGAAACAAACAAATTACATAATTCTTACCGAAAATAATAAAATGTGTTATGTGGAAGAAGGTATGCATATCAGCAGACTATTTAAAATTATATTTGTTTATTCTGCGAGCTTATCTCTTTTTTTGTACACAAAATAAAATAACATTTTATTTTATTTTGGTTTATTTTGTTTCTTTTTTTAATTTAATTATTTTATTTATTTTAGTTATTATTTTATTTCATTTGTTATTTTGTTTATTTTAGTTATCATAAATCTATTTTTTATTTGCATTTTTATTTTAGATGCTATAACTTTAAAACGCCGAGATGGATCGATAATAATGAAATAGGTCGCTATTTTTATAAATTTGAGGGCACGCATTACGTAACAAATAAAATGCTGGCGAAACTTTACCCGCAGGATACAGCTATAACTGCATTGCAGTAATATTGCAGCAACATTGCAACATAGCAGCAATATTGATGCATCTCCACGTACTAAATGTTTTTCTTTATTGCTTCTTGTATGTTTTCTTGTCCTTCTCTTTTTATTTTTTGATGATATATTCGTAAACCTTTCTTTTTAATTTTCTGTGCAATTCGTATTTCTTAAGCGTATATATCAACTGTTATATCTCACAGATTTGTATGTGTCAATTTTATTTTAATATATAAATATTATTATCATTAATATCATATTGGTAAAAATATTGTGACTGACAATTTTAATCTTAACCAACTCTAGATAAAACACATGTATAACTATATTACATTCTTGTTTTGAATCTCCCATCGTCTTTAATTATATTTCATCATTGTTTTTAATTATATTCAAAAATACTAAATATACATAACAAATACATAGATGTATATTTTTAAATATATATGTTTACGTAGATAAAATAATTTAGGAGACGATATATTCCATCGTAGCATTATTTGGAGAAAAATAATTTTTCTTTTTTTACATTAATTTAATTATCAGATCATACTCTGGCATTAGTTTCGCTTATTTTTGAATTGCAAAGGCAAAGTTATTTATGATATCGTTAATCTATTGATTTGAACGTGACAGCGACATTATTATCTCAACAAAGATTGAAATCACTGCTCGCGAATACACTGCAAGAAAAGCGCACGAGTAGCATACGTACTTGGGCGAGTGTTATGACGAAACTACAGTAAATAACGAATTATCTATAATGTTGAAGAAGCACTCTATCTGCTGTGAAATCGTGTATACAAGATGATTCAAAGAGAAAACTTTATAATAAACTTTTATACATAATAGAGATGGATTAATTCAATGATATCATAAAGGACGTTTAGCCGCTTAGAACATTAATATCAAATAAATCAATAAAACATCACTACATTTTCGATAATACTATAGTATCTAAGAACAGCTTTATGGAACGAATAAAAAAGACGCAAATAATGAATATTTTATACTTATATTAATTATATGATGCTTTTGAAGAATTTACTTTGAAAAATAATTAATCAGGTACAAAAGCAAGAAAAATCTACTTTATTCTGCCTATAATCTTACTTTATAGATGATAATATGTTTGTTAATAGCTGATAGTAAATATTAGGTAAGATCCGGTTTGCAATTGCTCGTATCTCACATGGCGCGCATCAGCGCATAAATAATTAATAATTATTTTTAGAAAACATCGATGGCGTCGACATGTTCTCGGATCATTTTCTTGATTTTGCTTTTAGAGAAAAGGTGCAAATGTCAAGATATAAACATGTGAAAGACAAAGATGCTCAGTAAGAAATTTAAAGTTGCAAGGATTTTGTATAAATGTATTTTATGAAATATAAGGAATAATAGTATAAAATAAATATTACTCACATAGTAATTTATTTGTATTATAAATGATTGAAATGTCTTAGCAGATATTTAATTTGCCCATTAATTACTAGATATATCAAAATATGATGTACACATAGTGCTAATAATCATCACACGTAATGATAATTAGCAGTGTTAAAAAACTAATAATAGTGAAGAATTATTTCTTTCATCTTTTTTAATGTTTAAAGTTTATGTTGAAAATTAAATATACTTTTATAATTTTCATCCTATGCACGTTGCACAAAAATATTCATGCGTCATGATATATATTTAATTAAAAAGGCGAAACTATATTTATTATTTTCATGTGCAACATTTTATGTAAGCAATTTATTATTTCTTTAACTTATAATTAATTTTGTACGTATATATACAAAATATAGCTGCATATAGAGAAAATCGAACAAAGAAAGCTATCTTTAAACAATTTAAAATGGTTGTGTTCGCATATATTCATAATCAATCTGGACCATATTGGTTCGAAAAACAGTATTTTATTTTTACTTTGTATATTATATATTTGCCTCAGAGATAATCTTCTTTGATTAACATTTTGCAGCATAATATTTTTAACAATTCTTTGCAACATTAACAATTCTGACAAGATTACAATTATTAATTTAACTCGCAATAATATGTACCGGTAAGAGATTTATTGTGAGTACAAAATAAAAAATTAAAGATAAATTGAATTAAATTACGTTATAATAATTTTACAATAGCAAGTAATCATATGGAAAAATTACAATAAATGCTTTATTTACAAGCGTTTCATTATAGTCCAATATAACAATAATATTTTACATATTTATATAAAATATGACATTAATTATATTATTTTATAAAAATTCCATGAGAGATAGAGCCTTACAAAGCAAATAATAAAACTTAATAATAACTTTATAAGTAGCGCTGATAAAACGCTGAAAATTTAGAAATTTACGTATATTTTTTTGACCATTAAGTATTAAATAGAGCTTAAGTAAATTTAGAAAAAAATTACTAAATAATAATAAGATAATAAAGAATACATTTTTTGCGTGAAATCTTGAGCTAAGCTTATTAAAGAAAAAAAAAGCCAATATCTAATATTGTATAGTTAATTTTTAAAAATTAGGAGATTATAATTAATTGTTAATAAACCGTTTGTGTGCCTGCGTGCGTGAATGTTTGTGTGCGTGTGTGTGTGCGTGCATGCGTGTGTGTATGTGTGTGTATGTAATCTTGTTCTGCGAAAAAATTTTTTTTTTGCGCATTGCAGCATTAGAGTTCAGTCTCACCGGACGAATCTTTCTCGTCTCTTTGTTTGCAAAAACTCATCTTTTTCTGCATTGGCAGCTTTTCTAATGTAGTGGTGCACGTCGAAGTACTCGATGATGTTGCATTTGTTGCGCATGAATTTTCTGGAAATAAACCGCATCCGAATCGCTTCAATAACATCCGCAAGATGTGCTTTTTCCACACAAAGATAATAAAAAAGCAGAGATTCTGCAGAATCCTTATCAAAATAATAGAATATATGATATAATCAAGCTACGCGGTAGCGTCGCGACACCAAGTATATGAAAAAGATTTCTTTCTGGCTTGTCAACGGTTTGCCTATGTACAGGGGCCGCGACGCTACCAAATAGCTTTTCCGGAGTTTTTACGTCTAATAAACTTTCGATTGCGACCAGTTTGAATAAGATTGGTGCAGTCAATCCTGAGGTATGATAAAGCAAAATAGTTTCTATCATTTCATCATTGAATTTGCGATCAAATATTAAAATTTGCATAATGTGTTATTTACATTTTATGAACATAATTATGGATCATGAAAAGTCTACGATAAATAAATAAATAAATAAAAAAGAATATGAAAAAAATCAAACTAACATGTAATAAATTTATGTTCACGTTACAATTATACCAAAAGCTGTAAAGCTATATATTTTTCATCAGATTGTCTTTATTTTCACTATATGTATACCTGTATAACAATGTAAGTCTACGTCTAGTATGTAGAACAATGTAAGTCTATCTACGTCTAGTATGTATACCTATATAACAATATAAGTCTACATCTAGTATGTATAACAATGTAAGTCTATCTACGTCTAAACTTTTAGTTTTTCTGAAATAAAATAATTTTGAAAAGAATATCAGTAAAATATAATTTATTTATAAAATATATAGAAAATTTACATTAAAATCCTTGCAATTAATGCCAA